CGCCCCCGGCGCCCCCGGCCCCCCGGCCCCCCTCCACTCGGCGGGCTCGTTAGCCTGGACCATTCCTCACCTTATCGGAGAGGTCCCGCAGCCGCCCTGTGCAGAGCAGCCACAGCCTTATCGCGGCGGTGGGGCGTGGGCGTGGGCGCGGCCTGGCAGGTCACACAGCCATCTGCTCCTTCGCGGTCCGACCCTGTGCCCCAGCTGCAAAGCCAGCCCTGAAGGGCTGGGTCCTTGGGCCCCCCGCGAGTCCTCAGAGCTAGACGCTGCCTGGCACCACTGCACGCTCAGGATCAGGATCAATCGTATCCCAGCATGAGTGATGAGGAGCCTTCCAGGGGCTGGCGCCCCGCTGAGCTGTAGGCACAGGGCTCCCTCCCAGATAAGGAAACCCAGGCGCAGAGGTTAAGTCAACATTAAGTCCCTGCTTTCTAATGACATGGCGATGATGTTCCGTGCAGGGTGCCAGCAGGTGGCACGGCGGCTGCCCTGGGGGAAAGGTGGTTCCTGCTCCTGCCGTTTGCCTGCCTCACATGGAGTGTGGGCCCATACCGCAGCCACTCCCCTCCTCGGGGATACAGGGAGGACCAGGCCCTTCTCCAGGGGTGCCCAGGGTAGGCAGGGTGGTATCCCTGACAGGGGCCGAGAGCTCAGAACGGCACTCTAAGCTCCCCCCGCACTGGAGCACAGCAGCCTCCTCCAGCCCGCCCATCCTCTGCAGCATGTTGGGTGGGGACCAGATAGGGGCACCCACTGTGGGCAGCCAGGTGGCCTTGCTAGGTGTCCTCCAGGGTCTCAGGGAAGAGCCCAGCTACTGAGCCCATTCCAGGAGGCCAGGGCTAGGTTGTGGGCTCAGAGAACCCACATGTGTGGGGTTTCCACCGCAGTGTCTCGGGGCAAGTGGTCTGGGTCTCTCTACCTGTTTGCTCAACTCTAAAACGGGGTCGTGAAAGTCTCTCTGAGGACCGTCTGGGGACTAAACGAGTCAGAGAACTGTGGTGTTTTGAACAGGGCCTGGTAGGTGTAAGCACGACCCAGCCAGTGGTCATGGTCCCCTGGGCCCTGTGTAGCCTGGTTACTGCCCACCCCACCTCGCCATCTCCCGTCCTCCCACTCCCCCCCGCAGCCTCCCCCAGCCTCTGTCTGTCCCTTGAACATTCCCAGTTCTGTCCTGCCACGGGCCTTCAACCCTGCTGTTCCCTCTAACTCAGTCTTCCCCTATAGCTGTCCACGCTGACTCCTCCTCCTCTAGATCTTAGCTCAAAGCCTCCTCCTCAGAGAAGCCATCACTGATTAATCTGTTGAAAACGGGAGTCTTGGGACCAGCAGATGCTGTAATGGTTACATTGCGGGACTCCTGCGTAGTCAACCGCAGTTCGAGTCCCGGACCCAGCAGCTTAAACTCATGCTGGGTGTGTTTTCGTGCATGCCCAAAATCCCAAAAGGAGAATGGAGGAGAAAAGATAGTGGGTTGCAGTGTGGTCGTCCCCCATGGGGGCTGATTTCTAGCTTTCTGTCTCTTAGCAAAAATCTCTCTTTAAAAAAGGAAAAAGAAAATGAGAGCCCTGTGGTCAGCAGGTGGCATGGTGGTTGAGGCGCTGAGCCCCCACATGGAGATGGAGTCTCGGACCTGGCAGCTTGCTTTCTCGTTTTCCCTTTCTCTTTCTCTCTCTGGTCAAATTAAAATATGTTAATAAATAAAATAAATAATTCTTAAAAAAAATAAAAGAAAATGGGACTCTAACCCAGTCTCTACCAAGTCACCCCTCTGAGTCTGAAATTGTCAGAGTCACCTGTTCACTCCTTTGTCACCCAGCTCCTGAAAAAGAAGCTGGTCTCTTTTGGTCATCGGTGGAGCCCCAGCACCTGGAAGGAAGCCTGGCACATAGCAGGTGCCCTAGAAACGCTTTCAGAAATTGATCGGCAAATTCAGTCGTCAATCAACCGAGTGACGGGTTTATTCATTCATTCCCTTTTACTGAATTCCTTAAGGCCTTTAGCAGCCCTCAACTACGGGGAGGCTTTTATTTTGAATGACCTTTGCAGTGCTGGGAAACTGGCCGGTTAACTAGAATTGGGGTCTGCCCTGGCCCTGAAGCCCTGCCCCCTGGCCCCGTAGCTGCTGCCTGCTCATCTTGCCCAATCCAACTTTCACTTATCACCAAGTCTTCAAGGTCGATATGTGCGTGGTGCTTACCTAAGAGACCCCAAGGCCATGCCAGAGTGTCGTCATGTCATATGGCAATATGCTGTCACTGGCTGCAAGAGGAGGGCAGAGATGAAAGGATCTGAATACAGGCGGCCACGAAGAGTCACATCTGGGGCAGGGAGGACAGGCTGGGGGGGCGAGGAAGGCCTTGACACAAGGACAGAGATGCAGAAGGGAAGGGGGGTTCTTAATAAGATCTTATCAACGTGGCGTCGGAGGATCCTGTGAGAACAAGTCAGACGATGTCCCTCCTGTGCTCAGAGCCCTCCCATAACCGAAAAGACAGAGGGTGGGTGTTTGCAAAGAAGGGGAGGGACTGGAACCCTTGTCGGGCTGGTGGGCCTGTGAGACGGTGCACCCCCAGAAGGCCAGCCAGAGTTCCCAGCCAGAGTCTAACTCCTAGAGCGAGGGCAGCCCGTGTCCGTGCCGAAACTCGCATGTGAGTGTGCATGGCACACTCATACAGCCCACCAGCAAGAGCAACCCCAAGGCCAGCAGCCAGTGAGCGGATGTTCACCGAGACTAGGCTGGCCGCACAGCCAGATGAAGAGGGGCGGGGCTCTGACGCTTCCCACTTCCTAGCCGGGCCCTGAGAACGCAGGCAGTGGGCGGGCCGTCACCAGGTGTAGGATGTACCATCCAGGGCCAGTCTGCCGAGATGGAGAGGAGACTGGGCGTGCCCAGGTGGAGGGTGAGGGCTGACTGCTCCCAGGCACAGGGTTCTTTTTGTTGAAAACATTCCAGGGCCAGCAGGTGCTGTAGAGGTTAAGGTGCTGGATCCCACATGGCAACCGCACAGTTCAAGTCCGGGACCTGTCAGTTTGAAAAACACGGGACTTGCATGCCCAAAATCCTGAGAGAAGAATGGAGAGAGGGGATTGAGGGGTGACCACCGCCCCTAGGAGTGATTTCTCTCTCTCTCTCTCTCTCTCTCTCTCTCTCTCTCTCATTCTGGTGAGCACAGCAGCTATAGCAAAACTAAAAGAAAAAAAAGCCCTAGAACTAATTGTAGCTTTCATTGCTTGGTTGCATAACTCTGAAATATTTTTAATAATTACTTATTTACTTTATTTATTATTGTCATTTTTAAATTTGATCAGAGAGACAGAGAGGGAAAACAAGAGAGCCAGACATGGAACTCAAACCACAGTTGGCCATGTGAGAGTCCAACACCTTAACCACCACGCCACCTGCCGGTCCCTTTGGAATGTTTTTAATTATTACTTTTATTTAATTTCATTCATTATTATTACTTTTAATTTGACCAGAGAGTGGTGGGGGGGGGTGAGAAAGTTAAACCAAGAGGTCCAAGACTCGAACCACAGTTGGCCATGTGGGAGTCCCTTGTCCCTACCCCATATCACCTGCTGGCCCCCGGAACCCTTTTTTTTTTTTAGAGGTTTTTGATATAGGGCACGTGCACTCGCCAGAAAGACTAAGAGAGAGAGAGACAGAAAGCGAGAAATCACCCCTCAGGGGGATGGCCACGCTGCAATTCCTTCTCCTCCATTCTCCTCTCAGGATCTTGGGCACGCATGCACACAGCCCAGTATGAGTTTAAGACACCAGGTCCAGGACTTGAACCATGGTAAACTACATGGGAGTCCAGTGACACAGCCATTATGCCAATCCCTGGAATATATTTGTTTAAAAAAGGAACCCTTCCCATGGCTCCAATTCACTCAAGAGTAGAAGCCAAGGTC